GATATGTAATAATTTATTTTAATTTATATAGTTGTATAGTTTGTTAAATAATGAGTTGATGAAAAAGTTATTTCTTTCAGTTCAAAGAAATTCTGTTTGAAATGATTTCGAAGTGATACAATAATTTATAGCTGCTCTGAGCTAAAATTTCTGCTCTGTAAAACTGTACAATGTAAAAAGAAAATAATAAAAAAAAAACAATAAAAATGAAACATGTAAAACTGTTCTTTGATTTTTTACGATGTTGCAAGAAATACATAAAATAGTAAGGACGTAAAAACAAACAACTGAAAAAGCGCGTTGGACCTCGAATAAGCCAGTCAGAATCTAGACTTTGCTCATGCGAACAGAGAGTTTAACCTACGATAGCGGAATGGCGATTGGAACACACGCGTGATCACACTGCAACATATACGTATAGAAAACTCGATTAACTAGATTTATTTGCCGTTACCAAAGTCCTTCCGCTAGTGCATTGTGATATCCTCTTCGCCGTCCTCGTCGTAAAATCGACTTTAAGATTGCACGCGGATCTCCATTGTCAAAAGGCAGTATTGACTTGCGATATGTCGTTAGTATTTGTTTCTGAGAACTTTCATTATAAAAATCATGAATTTTGTTCAACAGGCTTCACGCTCACACGAATTTTTCAACAAAACTATAAACGTAGCTTCAAACACTACATGTTTCGTCGAAAGACGAAAGTATTTCCTATATAGTAAAGGGGAAGTATAAGGTTGTAATATAGTCGCGCTTTCTCCTCTCTCCTAGTAGCCACGTACTATTTCTTTCTCTCTCTTTTCTTTTCTCCTTTTTCGATATACTTACTCAGCATGCCTAACTACGATCTAACTATATGACTTTTCTTTCTTTCTTACTTAAGGAAAGTAGGGGAGAGTATGCGTTTCGTGTGGCGGCGCGTTATCGGTTAGTTGTGGAGGTCAGAGCAGTATAAATCATTCGTCCGAACTAGTCGCACGTTTTTGAATTCTACATTCGTTAAACAGAATTTCTGTAACTTATTTAATTTGTCAATGTAGCATAGTTAAGCTTAACTAGTTTCAATCAAAATAGTATTTAATAGACGCGTATTTATTCTAGTTTCTAAATAACTCTTCCAATCAGTTCTCTTTGGTTGAGTCGTGCTATTTTAGCAATCGCCGCGAGACAAACCCTCCTCGAACTCCGGTAACACAAACACAATTTACATAAACACTTATACATATCATTGGTTGACTAGCCACAAAGTAGTCAACCGACATCACAACGCCACGTGTTTGATTTCACATATCATTTGGTCGGTTAGCCACAAATTAACCAATTTCGATTTCTTTTACATCCGACACACATATATGCATACCTTTAAGTATCAATCGTAATCAATTAATCATAACACGTTTTTATTTCTTTACAAAACGATTGAACGCATGATCGCACGTTATCACAATTTCAGTTTGTATTTTATCCATGTAAATCAACCAAGGGTTTTTCTCCATTTAGGCGGTTTCCGTTTGCGCTTACGTGCAAACATAGTTTGCACGCAAGATCAAACCTAACCGAACCTTGTGGAGTTTTTTCCCAATTTTTTAGGCCTATAATATATCGATCATATTGGTCTAACTACGCATTTATTATTTCATATCCCTTCATAAACTACACATACATTCACGAACAATCCTTTCAGACTGAAAAATTTAAAACTAACACTACGATATTCGAACTTTCATCCATACCTTACTTGACACATCACTCACGCACCAAGCAGCAGTCACGTAACGCTTGGTTTTTTACGTGAAACATAAAAGCTGACTCGTGCACACAAAAGGAAATTCAGTTTTCTGCATCTCTTTAAAGTATACTAAAAAAAATAAGACTACGTCGACGTTTTTTTTTACGATCCATCTTCTCTTTAGATCCGATGCGCACGCTGATTGTTCGAAAGACGGAAAGGGATAAAATCCTGCGGTACTTTACGCCAACTGATTCCGCAATGCACCTCATGGCATACATATATATCATCGTCATGAAGTCGTCATTTATCGTAGCGTAAGAAATACACGCGTATACGCGTTAACGCGCCCGTAACATCAATCCTACATTATGGTGAGCACATCGCGATACTCCATTACGACAATCGCTCTATGCCGCTTATTATTCGGATGTGCGCGCAGATTATTTAAAGCTCCTGCAAGCACGGCCGTCACTTGCAGGCGCCGCGCAATACACAAGACCGCAAGGAACGCGCACGTGTAGCAAGCCGCCACCATCGATGGTTGTCGCGCTGAATCTCTTGGGGAATATGATATTCGGCCTTGCTTTGCTTTCAATGTATCTTGCTTATCGAGTGATAGCTGTATCGCTTTTGTTCGATCATTATGGACGTGCTTAGCGGAAATAATATAGAACGTATACGCTTGGTTTTAAGGATTTACTTGATAAATGGAAGAGGATTTTAATTTATATTCAGTTCATTTCATATTACTAAAATATTTTTTCTTCTTTTTATTGGACGAAAATTTTAAGCTCCAATTCGAACAATTCAAACATGAAAATATATATCTTTGTAATAAATTATGAATGTGAAGGATCATATTATTTTTCAGAATCATGTAGAAAGATTACCGTAGCTCATCCTGAATCACCCAAGCTATGATCACGTGGAACTTTGAAATTGAATAAACTCCAAAGACACAAGAATAAAAAGATTTGAAATAAGCTTCCACCAACCAATAGAAGGAAAAAAGCTTGATGTCAGTCAGAATGAAAAAAGTCAGAACTGAGCTTGGCATCGTATAGGAAAACCATTGGCACTTGTCAAATCGTTGCCTTACTCGCACAAGACAAATCGCTTCCCAGCTGTCAGTCAGAAAGAAAACGATGCCACATATATAGGAAGAAAAAATATAGCTGTTGATTTTCTTCCTGCACCGTGAGAGAAGCTAAAATACATCTATATATATCCCGAGAGAGAGAGAGAGAGAGAGAGAGAGAGAGAGAGAGAGAGAGAGAGAGAGAGAGAGAGAGAGAGAGAGAGAGAGAGAGAGAGAATAACTCCAGCCGGCCACAGCTGCGCGACTTTTCATCGTCATCACTCATGGAAATAAATGAAGATCGCGCAAACAGCCCCGAGTGATTGGTAAACGCAATCTTCATGCGTATAAATTTCATCTTCCTTCTTGTTGATTAGAGCTTTATAACAATTCTCTCTTTTTCATTTGTTCGTTCGCGCAACACTTTAATCTGGGTCTTGCGAGTGACTTGTTTCTTTTTTCGCACGCAAATCGCCGCGGGCCAAAGCTTTTTGTGCTTGCGCTCTATTCAAACATCTGCCTCACTCTCACGCATATGTTAACGTTGGGCCAATTCTTTGCGTATTTTTATTCTGCTATCCTACCCTTTCTCTTTACCTTCTTCGTATTATCTAGGCAATTCGTTGCCACAGATAAATGCTGCTGCATGCGAATAATGCGCTAGGAATTTCTCCCAAATAAAACATTTGGTCGCAGGCTACTCTTTTCTTTTATTTTTCGTTGGTACGTTGAATGATGATATATATTCAACGGGATTGCTTGGGCAATTTTTGTTGTTGTCGTGCGTAGTTTCGCTTGGCTTTTATTTCGAGGAAATTTTTATTAATTTTGCAGAGATTCCTTTTCGCAGGCTTCCGTTTTAGGTAGTAAACTTGACTATATGAACACGAAAATCTAACTCTTATAGTTTCGGTATTTTCCATATTAATATGTTGTTATCAAACTACAAAGTTGTTTTTTTCCAGATAATAGAGAAAAAATTAGGATGGTAATATTAAAAATTCTAGTTAATCGTCTAGATTCATTTCAAGTAGTGTATAAAAAGGCAGTCATCCAATTTATTTGATTATTATTTCACTTCTATTTCATAAATTAAAACTTTTTCAAAGTAAAATACTTTATTTACGACAAACATATCAATTAGTCATTCAAAGTTACACATAGTTCCACATTTTCTCGAGTAAAAATAACATCTTATCATTGCTTTTCTGGTATCATCACAGAAAACTACCAGTCACAATGGAAAATCTACTAATTAGTGGGGAAACTTCTAAAATCAAAGTCCATGTATTAGTCAAGCAAACCGGAATACTGCGGCTTCTTTATGAAATAAACCAATTATAAGCGCGCGTGAAATCCTGAGGTCTTTTCAAAAGCTCGAATGAGAATGAATAAAACCGCATTGCCCAAGGCCTTACCATCTCCTCCAATTACTCGTTTCTGCGAAGCGCCTCTAACCCCACATCTCTCCATAGTATCGAGATCGCAATCGTCGCCTCACAGACACTCGACGCTTTTGTTTTACCTTTACTTTTACTTTGCCTTGGCTGAAGCATTCGAGCTGGCTTTATGAAACAATTCACCTACTATTCTTTACATCCTGCGAACGTTTGCGAGACGATAAAATGTTATCGTTATTCAAGAAAGCAAACTAATTTGCTGCAACAATTGTTAATAAACTTTATTACATAGCAATTTTTATAATAAAATGAGTAATTTTCATTTGTTTCAAAATATTCTGATTAATCAAAGCCAAACAAACGCGTACGGTGCTTGAATGTGTTATAGAATGAACTATATCACGCGTAAAATAAAGATCGACCTGTGGTCAGAAAAAAACGAGAGGAAAACAATACAAACTCCAATGAAGCCTTTGATAAAAAAAAATATATGCATACAACACACCGCAGAAGTCTCTTTTCGCACATATACTTCTATCTGTCGATGTCGCTATCTCTCTTCCTCGATATCCGACTCTCTTATTTGGTACGCGTGCACAACAGCCGAAAATCCGATTTCACCGAGTTGTTTTTCTTCCAGTCGTGATGATCCAATCGATAGGAGTTGGACGTTTTGTTCTCGACGTTTATCCACAGAAAATAGCTATCGGTAGTACAGTCAGAGAGGGAAAACGGTCCATTGGAATTTTGGCGTGAAAACTCGGATCGTTTGACGGGATTAGAGTTAGAGGTAGAAAGAAATTTCTTTTTTGTTTCTCGTTTATTTTTTGAACTGCAAAGAGCAAATGTAATTACTTGTGCTAATGTATGATTGCATTAAGAGATGTGTTTGCAATAATATACAGTTGACAAATCTGACGAGGAGCGTGAAAATGTAAAATAAAATACTAAATTTTCAGTAATTTACTTATTCGATCGAACACCGCCTCGACAGCATATTTGTACTTATTTTTGTTAAAGATCTTGACACTTTGTTTCACCAACTGATTAACAGTATCTTCCGCAATGCCAGCTATATGATCTTTGAAGAATGGGATAGCATTATCGGCTATTACATTCTGCAGCCAACTGATATAAGAATCGCTCGTCATATTCACAGAGATATCTCTGAAAAATTTAATTTGCATTCAATTCACTTTTTTCCAATAATAATGATTCTGAAACTCACCCAAATCGATCAATTTTAAAAGTAGGATTGGTAAGTTTTATTCCCAAAGGTCGGTAGTCGAGAGTAACATGCGCAGTGATGTTACTTATTACAGCGTCTATTGTTCCAGTGTCCGTGTAAACGAGGGCTTCAAGCGTGTAATTGAATTTTGCAAAAAGTTCAGGGAAATAAAGACTAGCGTTTATCCGTGCAGTAGGAAAAATACCTGGAACAATACTAGCTACAACGTTTTTATTTCTTTTGAACTTTGTGGCGCCTGTTATAACGCCGTCTGTCAAATTTATTGTCGCCTGTAAATGAATTGATGAATACATAATAAGTAGAAGATGCTCAACAATTTAACGGTGTTTCATTTAACTTACTACGCTCAAATCTTTTGATATGGGGGGTACGCTTATCGGATCAAAACCAATTTTTTTCGTCACTCTTTTAACTGACGGTAATGTCTTGTCAGCAATTTTATTTACCTTTAAACCAAGAGCTGATCTGCATTAAAAACGATAATTATTTTTCAATGTACTGTTTCAATCAAATATTGAATATCAAGCTTGTATTACTTACTCTACAATAAAAACGTTATTTCCAACAATCAACGCGAAATAATAAAATGTAAGCGTAAACCATAATGACATTTTAATTGTTATTTTATTGAGAAATGATTCTACGAAATTCAGTCAACCGTACATTACGAATTGCTAATGTGAGTTCATTATTCGCATAAAATATTCGTTATAGCTGTATCTACTTCCGTCACCGTGCAATTTAGGTAATGTAATTAAATGGAAAATTGCGTCTACAAAAAGCTATCGATAATAGAGCAATTACGATAGCAAAAATGCTTATATCAATTGAAATAATAAATACTGTTTCTGAGTATAATTTTGATGCAATTATACAGCATGAACGTAGAAGTGACCTCGCAAGCGTTATCAACTTACATAGAAGTAATTCGGTGTAATTCGTTTATTCTGGCTCGAGAAAATTGGACTTACACATAAAAAACGGACTAATCTTGTTTGAGAAGATACCGTAACAGTAGAGTAAGATGCAGACAAATAGAAAACAATATCGTGAAGTATGGAGTACAGATAAGTAAACAGTTGTTTGAGTCATGAGACATTTTCAGAATAGAAACTGTATTTCCTTTTCATTGAAGCCTAGAATAGGCTTTACTATTTTGTTATTGATTCCATTTATTTTCTTATTGTTTTCAATTGAAGAGCGTTCTAAATACTGCTGTTGCACGCTACAGAGGTAGGCTAGATACGCGTACGCATTAGTCTTCGTTCTCTGTAGTCATTAACATGTAGACTCGCCTCTTTTACCATTTTTGGAATGCAAGAGAAAAGGTATTTCGTACACATCATAACCTACAGTTTAAGGTTAAATCCGAATCAACAGAATCACAGTAACAAATATATGAAAATTTCACATTTCTTAAAATTTTCGTGTGTCCGGGGCTCGAACCCACGACCTCTTGCATAGAACTCTGAACTATTCCCCACTGAACTAACCATATAGTTTATACTATGCTACGAATAAACTTATGAATGACTTTTGTTACACAAGGTCATTACACTTTATTGATTGATATAAATAGCAAAATGAGATATTCAGTAAGGCTTTTTTATGTTTTATGTTCTTTAATTCTAATAATAGCGATTTACTGCGCTATTTTTCGTTATAAAGTTATTAGGTTATAAGCGTAAAAAAATATACAAGTTGGAGTATTAAATAAGAAAAACTTGGAGGAGCTGCTCGTCTAAGCTTAGTAAACTGCATTTATTTTTCGTAAAAGTCACGAAGACCATTAAAAATTTACGAGTATAGTCACTGTATTTTAGCACTCTTCAATCCTTGTGCACGCCGACGGTCTGTGCTTTGAATACAAGTGTAGAACTCGGTAAATTTAATTTTTTTCGTCACTTCTTTTATTCTTAGTTTTTCATTAGACTCAGTTACTGAAAAAAAAATTGAGTCTAATTTCGGAGTAATGATATCTATTTGAATGAACGTTATCAAATTCGTTTATTTTTTGCTGAAGAAAAAAAGCTCATTTTTTAATAATTGTAGATGCGATTTTTTAAATAATTACTGTTTGACAAATATAAATATTTTATTTCTTCTATCTTATTTTCTGTAAGACATATCCTTTTATATCCGAGGCTGACCATAGCGAGTTTCTTCTACTTAAATAGAAATAAAGTTAAGTTTATGTACGTCAAACCAAGTCGTGTAAAACTATACGAATGATAAAAAACCAGACATAATGTTTATCTTTATAAAGTATCTTGTAAATTTTTTAGCTTTGCAATTGTATAAACTCCTCGTAAAGTTAATTTCATTTACAAAACAGACTAAATAAAACTTCGCAATATAAATGGTAAAACTCGGCATTATCACTTGAAGTCGAGAAACACAAGCGCCGTCCTAATGGCGAACCAATGAACCGGAACTAGGAGTGTGCCATTCGTAGTTGCGAGAGGGGGAGAGAGAGAGAGAGCTAGTGCAGCCGTTTGAATATCAAATAGATGCTCTCGCACACGCTCCGGGGATGCGAGTTTACCGGTTCACCGAATTCGGCCCATATATATTCGCCATATTTTCCTATTGGGCTTACTGATGTTGCTTTTGATTTCGCTATACAATTTGCTTTTTGTTAATTTTCATCTAGCTCGTAACATGGAATTGAACGAAACCTCTTCAGAAATGTTTGCCTTTTTTACATTTTCCGCGTGACTAATACTTTGTCAAGGGATATAAGTTTGCAGATGTTTTCAATTCCACCTCTGGTAATAACAAGTAGCGAGTGCCAATCAAGTAACTTTCACTCTTCTTTTAAGGGGAGAGAGGTTTTTCCATGCCCCACAAAAGCATTGCTAGCTACCATCAAAATGAGACAGGCCTCTCTTAACCATACATTTAACATTATAACTTGCCTTATTCATATAGGTCCATCATAGTGTCAGTGAACCTACACACGTGAGCTTTCTTTTCTGTAACCTTGGATTTGTTTCCTGTAGCGAAAATAAAAAAGGGAGATAATAAAGAAAGTTTGCCTAGAAAAAAGTTTGATTTTCACCCACCCTCGACTGCTTTTGTCTATATATAGCATTGCATGTATAAAAGAAACGCTTCAACTTTTATCACATTGATTCTCATCTTCTCTTTTCTCTTTGCTTCGTAACTAACGAGGCTCTCGGCGCTTGGTGAACTTGAAACGAGCGTAGAATCCACTCATAATGAAGCGAATAAGCGGGAGAAGGTCGCCACAGCAGCACAGTGTTACGTACCACGTTTTATCGATTCTTTTCCTTGCGCCTGCGACTTCAAGTCGACGTGCTATCTCTTGCCTGTACATCTGACTTTTCTCGGTCGCGTGATGCTTAATGTGTCAAGCTTCTACGATGCTTTGTTTACATATTTTAGGTTTTTATGATAAAAGGGTCGTAAATTATTTGACAGCGCAAAACTAATATTAAGCACAATTGACTTTTGAAATGCGAAAGAAATTTGTGCAGCTGAGAACTTTGCAATCAAAATAAACTTTGTCAATAAAACGAATCAATGTCTATGTAGAGCTTAATTATTGAAATAGTGATGATTTCTTTGAATATTATGCATTTAAGGTTACGAAAAATATTCACAATTTTATGTTCTGTTAAGATTCCAGATATTCTCACTTTTTCATATGGAAAATGTTTCTTACTATTATGTATTTATGGCTCAACTATATTTTTCAGGACTATTAACAGACCGAAAGCCGAAAAAACACCTTATTTTTATAAGTACAGTTGAAATGATAATGAAAAAAAATTCATCTACTATCTACATAACCAATAAAAAATAACATGCAATTGTTACTGTGAAATTTTTATTTTAAGCTCATGTTATACTTGACAAGAGTATCTGACGGCTAGAGGAAAAAATTCAAAAACGCTTATGTTCTGTTATGATTTTGATTTTTCTGACCATGCTATTAAGACAAATATATTCACACATTGATGACAATTTACTCACCTATGGCATTTTTTGCCAAATACTAAGTCTTTATTTTGCACGAAGTCAGGTTTTAAAAACGTAACTCGACCTATTGACGGTGCAACATATTGTTGCTAGTGTATATAAAAAATTTTTTTTTCTTCTGTTGCTTCTAGTTCTGATAAGGGTCATTCTCGATATCTTCGAAACGTTGACAAAATAGCGTGAATAATGACTATTCAAACAGAACCGTGTACAGATGTTATAGTTTTATTAAACCAGTTTTCACCACCTTCTGTTAGACACATTACAAGCTCATATTTTAAATCAATTTATCCTTGTCCAACAAACTTTAAAAATCACTCAATCTAGATACTTTCAAAACTTCTTGAAACTATCTTCAATATTCGAGTTATCCTCTCTCGACAAAATATCGAGAGTAAGATAGAAGAAAAAAATTTTCATGAATTTTTCACGAGCTAACTCATTTTAACCGAGAAATTGAGGTGTCGACGATTCTTTCGTTATTAACAAGTCTGTCTCAGATTGTCTGGAGGGAAATGAACGCGAGCTAGCTTATTATCTCTTAGGTCTACAGTTACGAATGCGTAATTTTGAGAATTAACTAGATTTAAGATATACCTGGAAAGTAATCGTGAACAAGGCAGATTGACAAAATTTCTTGAAAAACTGCTCAAAAGAAATCTTATAAATCATTCAAGAGATCGATAACGTGAAACGCTTACTTAATAGAGACTATCTAAGATATTAAGTTATGATCAAAGATAGTTTTCTTTGTTACAAAGAAACCATTTCAAATTGTAATGCACTATTTGCATTGCCGTGCATGGAAAAATCAAACATTCATTTACTTGGCAATTCCGCTCCGCGTATAATAAAACAATTTTTCTCTGGTGAATCACATTTTCCTCCTAGCTGAAACGATCACATCTTTTGCACCTTCATTCCCACGTGGGGCATAATTTGCTCTTTTCCATCTCCCTCTCTCTCTCTCTCTCTCTCTCTCTCTATGTTTACTCTTCTACTCGTTTATTTGATTTCCTATTATGTATTCTGGTTCGAACAACGATATCATACCTTTTTTCATTCTTTTAATTCGATAGCGTTTGAGAGGAAATATATTGTTGAATATGCATGTTTTTACAAGTTTACAGAATTAATTTTTTCAGTGGCCTCTAATTCTTAACAAGAATGAAATTCGATATGAATGTTTGATTGTAAAAGAAATTATTTAAGTGACTTTGCATGAGTACGGAACTCTAAACATTAATCTTAAATTACTTTACTGACTAGGTGAAGAATGTAGAGTACATTGAAATATTTTCATAAAATTACTTTTTCGCAGAGCCGAAAAAATTTTTAAGCAAAAAGACAAACAAATATCTCTACAGTAAACACTTGAATTTCATGATTGACAATTGAAAATCTAATTGAATTTTCTCTCTTCTACATTAAATAGAATGCCAACAATAACAATACCATACAATTTACCTTTGATTAATTAATTAACGCCTACCGCTAGACATCAAACGTTAGACAATTTACATCTGTTTGATAAGCAAGGAATGTCAATTGAAGTTTTCAGTCGACTGAATTCTCTGCTTTGAATAGCCATTCTGTAAAGAAGAGAAAAAAAAACGCGTGATTGGTTTTCTCTGCATGTTCAACCCACCAACTCGCGTACAGGGTCCGCATAATTATAAAGCCATTCAAGCGAATACCAAGAACGCTTGTAAAAGTGGCAATTTTAAAAGTTACTCATGCGAAATTTACTGAATACGACAACAATTTGAGAAAAGTTATTCGCGATGGCAGTATTTTTACTCCGTATTCTTCGAATTCACGGCACGTTTGTGTTAACTTTCATCTGATTTTTCGTAATTTACAACTTTTCACGTAATAATGTGTGTATATATTTTATTTCTGTTACAGTACCACGGCCGACAAGGTTATGACACAGATATACCAGAGATCGGTGAGTTCAGATATTTTACGATCCTTATACCTTTTTCACGAGACACGCCACCGTCATATGCTTTGCTCGTGGGTATGCATGTCTTATCAATTCTTCAATCGGCAAATCTACTTTTTCAATTCTAGAATAAGAAGAATTCAAATGCTATTATCACTCCATGAATAGTCATGAAAGCGCAATTGCGATTTTTCAAAGGTTACCACTCGAAGAATCCGGGTTAGTCTACGCGTTTGATTTTCTTTCGCTTCAACTATATAAAAGCATATATTGTCGAATGCAAATCGAGCCTCGTCGCTGCTCATTGGTAAATTAATGACCGTACTCTAATTTGGAATGTTTGCAGGATTACATCGCAAAACTCGTGTTTAATTATCGGTTTTGACGTGAATTGTTATTGATGAACGTTAACGGTTATTGTCGCATTTCATCGATTCATGCGTTTCTACGATAATGAAGATTTGAATATCTAGGATTTTGAAATTACTTTTTGGTAAGCATTTATCTTTGTGTGTGAAATAAAGCATTACCGTTAGTAAACATTATACAAAAGGTATATACCAACTTCATAGCTATTTGTATTAGTATTGATCATGTGAAGTAGTTGAATTTTTGAGATGAAAAAAAAACTAGTAATTATCTTAAGTTAGTATATTAGTATTATTACAACAAGAAAGACGACTAAGTGAACAACACAAAGAGCAAAACGATAAGCACACTAAGAAAGTTATTGCGCGCAAACGTGTAAGAAGCTTCGCGCAGAATCAACACATGCGAAGAACAGTTTCCCGAGCTCTACACTTTTTCTTGAAACTTACTCTTAAAAGATTTTTTGATTTATTCTTTATGTGCGGAAGAACTTAAATACAAAAAATCGCATGTCTCTCTCTCTCTCTCGATTTTTCAAAAGTAACAATATATTTTTTAATGAAGAGAAAACAATCATGCCTGTGTTATTTAAATATTTATGTAATACTCACTTAGTAGACTAATATTGCGCCATTTGAGAACTCGAATACCAATGCTAGATACCTTGGAGACGTAGGCACGACATAATACAATTTAATCCAAGAGTGCATAGCTAGAAGCGTCACAGCCTAAGGACACCACTGCACGAATCCTACTTCTCTAAATTGGAATGCTATGCGCGCGGAAATCCACGCGACGAAAAGAGTCACTCGAAGCTTTTCACGCGAATGCTAATCGCTATAAAAGATTGAAACCTTGGATAGCTTTCATTATACCAATTTGCCGTGTGATGGTAAAGTGATTTTTATTCCAACTGGGTTGATGTTTGAGTTATCTTGATAGAAGCTTTTGAAAACTTTAGCACTTATCAATGCGTGTTGAAATTAATCGTGACTAGCTTGTCAAGTTTTTCATTTCAATTCAAATTGAATTGAATGGCGATGGATTTAATGTGAAATTGCATAGACTAGTAACTGAAAAAATATTCAAAAACTACAATTGCCTCGATAAAAAAATAAACTAAAATAATTTGTAATATCAAACGTTCAAAGAAAAAAGTTTTATGTAAAATTTCAAAGTACTCATGACATCAGCAATATCATCGTCCACGTCTATTCCAGCGAAAATTCAACGTGACCACTTTATAGAATCCTCTTAAGCTCTTTGGAGCGAGTGCGTGAGGAGCAGCGATTTCCACAAGGTGTGACCTAAGCGAAGCCGCCTTGAGAAGGGCCACTTTGCATTACTAACGGCCGATAAGTTGCTTTCGAGGCTCGTAGTTACTATTACAGTGTAACTTAACTGAAATCCATATATACCGTAGCATTATTCATTAGTTGTATGATATAGTTTTTATTATGTGAGAACGGACGGTTACATGCGTTTATTGTTTAATAATAGTAGATTACATAAGTAAGCCGGAAAAATATTGATAAATTCATAGCACATGAGAATGGACAATCGATGCGAAGCCGAAACAGGAACGTTATATTCGTTCACTACATTCTTTTCCAGGCCTATGTTGTCTCATCAATTATTTATCTTAGAACTTAATGTTTTTACGTCGTATTTTTTTCTATTATTATTTAAAAATTACAGCCTTATAAAAACAATGTCATACATTAAATTCAGCACAGTCCAACGATGTCTCGCATGTGCATACTATAACCCGCGAACAAGAGAAAAATTGAAAACTTATCTGCCTCGCAGATGAACATTCGAAGCACCGCCGTAAAAGCTTCCTGTACTTCAGAAAGAACATATCCGAGTGGTATCTATTTCTCCAAGGAAAAAGTAGAAGAAAAAGACATTGGGTAAGAATGGCTATCGGATTTCTAATGACCGATCGTCTCGTCTTCATCAATCTTCTCTTTTTTGACTTTTTTCAACTTGCGCATAGTAACGCTAATGCGTCTTTTTCGGGATATTATATGGATTTCATTGAAAATACGATGCTTTCAAGTTTTTGTAAGGAAATCTTTAAATACTCGACATAGAAAAATTAAACTTGAATCGAAAGCTGTTGGAAAGAATATTTATCCAATAATTTAATTAGAATGTCTTCTTTTTTTCGCTTTGGCTCTCAAAGCCTAATGTTTATACAGTATACTTTTATTATAATTTTTTTACCAAAAATTAGTACCTATATATACATAATTTCTAGTTACTCAAAAAATCTGAAACTTTGTCATAATCAACGGAAATCCCATCAACAACTCTGTCGCATAATCAATCGTTTCACACGGCATACTCATCATGGAGAGGAGGACCAAACAAACTAAACAGCAACAACGCAAATGCGAGAGAGAATAAGTAGTGACAGGCATTCGCGTCAGGCAGAGATGGTAATCGATACAACAGTAAAGTCGCGCTTAACAAGGTACAGCATACGCTATAGACAATAGTGTCGACCTAGTGACGATTTCTATATACAGATTCAACGATTGCGATAAAAGTCGTCGACGAACATTATTTTGATATAAACGAACGATTTTGAACGTAGATTTGTAGAGATTTAACGATGACATTTATCAAATTTATCTAAATTTAGGTGTAACATTAAATCGTTACGCGCGGTATCAGGTTATTAAGCACTCATTAAACTTGCATTTACACGGTTGCTGTTACAAGAGAGCTTTCTCGTTTCCTCCCCTTCTCGAACATTTCCGTGTCCAATAATATTCCTTTATACACACCCACGTCTATCAAAGTACGTCTTCTTGGAATGTTTTCTATTGATCCCGACAGATATACAGAGAAAGAGGAAGAGAGTGTGATTCTAAGCTTCAACCATTTACACGCAATATCTTAAATGGAATCTTTTTTGCTGTTATAAATTCAGTTGCATAATTTTTTCTAAATGCGTAAAGTTAGTGAGGGGTACTCAACTTTCTAGATTACAGTTAGATTCTTTTTTAGGACATTAATAGATTTTTTTCTCTGCAAGTATAAGTAGATTGACCTATATCAGCTGTAGTATATTAATTAAACGTAACACTGAATATTTGGTCTACGTTAGATACATCGCGTGGGCTATAAGTTAATTGATCAGTTGATTAACATCGAAACGGCGAGAAGTGTAGTCATTTAATTCACTGTTCTCTACACTTGATGTTTGAATCAATTATGACTAGGATTAAATACTCCTTTGACCAGTATTACATAAATTAGATAGAATTATTCTTTTTTCTACATATAAATTTGTCAATTCTTTTTATTGCATTGAATGAATTATTGTAGGGATAAGTTTTTGTTCGCAAACTAATGAATTCCATCATAGATTAATTTACTCAAAGTTTACCGACGCGTGAATATTAATCTCATGATAACCAACGAAATCTTTTATACGTAGTAAATTACAGATAAAGTGATAAACGCGTTTCTATCTGCCAAATCAATAGTTAATTATTGAAGTGTGTTCCAATTCAGTTGCGGTTGATTTGACCATGGTATTTAACGAGATTCATTCTTGCATCAACGTTACATCGACGGTCTCTGCTAAACTAACATCATTTGATTTCAACTCTATACAATAGCGAGATTTTATATGAGTAATTATATTTGGAATTCACTGATAGAAAATAATATGATTTTTCATGAAAACTTTCTTTAATCCAAAAGCTCGTGTTTACTATTTAAACAGCACACACGGTCATAGAAATATACTTTGTAACTCAAGACATATCTCGCATAGTCTTCTATACAACAAGCTTTTCCAGCAATCAACAGGAAAGCCGACTATAATCGCAAAAGACAACAATTCCCATTAGACGAATCCAACAGAAAAGTTCCACAGATTGTACAAGCAAACGAAAGTCCGTAAACAGCGAGGCGGGGTGATCGAAAGAGAGAAAAACACGGCGTCCCCATGACCTGAAATCGATCCGCGAAGAAAAGACATTGAAAGATAACGAATAAATGCTTGGGCTGAGACGTTAATGCATCGCACAGAGTGTGGGAAGTTAAAACGGAAGATCCTAAGCACGTATAATCAAAGAGAAAAGTCCATTCTAATTAGACTAATTGCCGGAACTGTTTTTGATCAATGCGAAGAAAACAATTGAAGGAATATTCCTCGACATCTCTCCCCGTTGCAATGTGGGTCAATCACTTGGACTCTTGGACTAGCTATTTAATGAGGGAACACGGTTACCGAAACTCTCGTGTATCTATATACATAGCGTTGTCTCGGGATCAACGGCACATGCAGCATAGTGTATAGGTAGCTTATAGGTAGCCGGTTCAATTATCCAACTCGAAGGATTCCATTTTGCCTCTATATACACCTTCACACATCGAGTTTTCCAACTTGGTATGGAGATACGTGTAAAGTTCGTCTTCGTGATTAAGATATCTTGCTGTTGGAAACTAGACTATATCTTTTTTTAATGGGTGCCGTGTACTTGAGCTGTCATAATGGATTCGTGACACTTCTAAGCATATAACGGTTAATTTTATACGCGCGGCGACAGTATTATTATAATTCGAAGTACGATTTTCCATGAATTTACACATCAATGCACAAGCTATTGTAC